CCCTCAAAACCTCAGCGTTGGCGCTCGGCTTCCCGCGCGGGGCAGAATGGGGAACCCACTGCTTCCGCCGAGGGTGGGCCAACGATGCTCTACGGCAGGGTGGTGTGCCCGCGTTGTTTCACTCAGGTGGCTGGCGCGGATTAGCCGCGTTTGGCTACGCATCAGCGCAAGGGGAAGTCGTGGCCGCAAAGTGGGCCGCTGATTTTTCGGATTCGTCAGCCAGCGGCGCCGTGGATTGTTGAAAGAAAAAAATTATGCTAACGGAACTCCCCACATAAAGAGATTAACGGTTTCGTGGGGCCCATTTTCTTGATGCCCTCCTCGCGACGCTGGAGGGGTGGGAGGGGCACGAAACCATGTAAGTAGTATGGTTTTCCGATGCCCTCCTCGCTCAGGCGGGGCCTCCCTGGAAGGGTGGGAGGGGCACGAAACCATGAAAATAGTATGGTTTGGGGATACCCTCCTCGCTCAGGCGGGGCCTCCCTGGAGGGGTGGGAGGGGCACGAAACCATGTAAATAGTATGGTATTCGGATACCCTCCTCGCTCAGGCGGGGCCTCCCTGGAGGGGTGGGGGGGGCACGAAACCATGTAAATAGTATGGTTTGCGGATACCCTCCTCGCTCAGGCGGGGCCTCCCTGGAGGGGTGGGAGGGGCACGAAACCATGTAAATAGTATGGTTTCCGATGCCCTCCTCGCTCAGGCGGGGCCTCCCTGGAGGGGTGGGAGGGGCACGAAACCATGTAAATAGTATGGTTTCCGATACCCTCCTCGCTCAGGCGGGGCCTCCCTGGAGGGGTGGGAGGGGCACGAAACCATGTAAATAGTATGGTAATACCCTCCTCGCTCAGGCGGGGCCTCCCTGGAGGGGTGGGAGGGGCAGGCGAGGGGTGGGAAAACCATGTAAATAGTATGGTTTCCGATACCCTCCTCGCTCAGGCGGGGCCTCCCTGGAGGGGTGGGAGGGGCACGAAACCATGTAAATAGTATGGTATTCCGATACCCTCCTCGCTCAGGCGGGGCCTCCCTGGAGGGGTGGGAGGGGCACGAAACCATGTAAATAGTATGGTATTCCGATACCCTCCTCGCTCAGGCGGGGCCTCCCTGGAGGGGTGGGAGGGGCACGAAACCATGTAAATAGTATGGTATTCCGATACCCTCCTCGCTCAGGCGGGGCCTCCCTGGAGGGGTGGGAGGGGCACGAAACCATGTAAATAGTATGGTATTCCGATACCCTCCTCGCTCAGGCGGGGCCTCCCTGGAGGGGTGGGAGGGGCACGAAACCATGTAAATAGTATGGTATTCCGATACCCTCCTCGCTCAGGAAACGGGGCCTCCTCGCTCAGGAGGGGTGGGAGGGGCACGAAACCATGTAAATAGTATGGTATTCCGATACCCTCCTCGCTCAGGCGGGGCCTCCCTGGAGGGGTGGGAGGGGCACGAAACCATGTAAATAGTATGGTATTCCGATACCCTCCTCGCTCAGGCGGGGCCTCCCTGGAGGGGTGGGAGGGGCACGAAACCATGTAAATAGTATGGTATTCCGATACCCTCCTCGCTCAGGCGGGGCCTCCCTGGAGGGGTGGGAGGGGCACGAAACCATGTAAATAGTATGGTATTCCGATACCCTCCTCGCTCAGGCGGGGCCTCCCTGGAGGGGTGGGAGGGGCACGAAACCATGTAAATAGTATGGTATTCCGATACCCTCCTCGCTCAGGCGGGGCCTCCCTGGAGGGGTGGGAGGGGCACGAAACCATGTAAATAGTATGGTTTCCGATACCCTCCTCGCTCAGGCGGGGCCTCCCTGGAGGGGTGGGAGGGGCACGAAACCATGTAAATAGTATGGTATTCCGATACCCTCCTCGCTCAGGCGGGGCCTCCCTGGAGGGGTGGGAGGGGCACGAAACCATGTAAATAGTATGGTATTCCGATACCCTCCTCGCTCAGGCGGGGCCTCCCTGGAGGGGTGGGAGGGGCACGAAACCATGTAAATAGTATGGTATTCCGATACCCTCCTCGCTCAGGCGGGGCCTCCCTGGAGGGGTGGGAGGGGCACGAAACCATGTAAATAGTATGGTATTCCGATACCCTCCTCGCTCAGGCGGGGCCTCCCTGGAGGGGTGGGAGGGGCACGAAACCATGTAAATAGTATGGTTTTCCGATACCCTCCTCGCTCAGGCGGGGCCTCCCTGGAGGGGTGGGAGGGGCACGCCATGGTATGGTATGGTACGGTATGGTACGTATGGTGTGGTATGGTATGGTATGGTATGGTATGTGTGGTAGGAACTATGGTATGGTATGGTGTGTGTGTGGTAGGAATAATATTGTGCTGTATGGAAGATGGAGCGGGAGGTGGGTGGGAAGGAGAGGGTGTTCAGGGAAAACAAGAACCCCACTCAGGATGTGGGGAAGAAAGATTCTGCCGCGTCGAGGCTAGCGCTTTTCCAGCGGGCGCGTGTGTGAAGGCTCGGGCCGCCGACATTGGGGTCCGGAGTGATGGGCGAGTCGAGCCTCAACAATGGGCAGCCTCGCTTGGGGGCTTGCTCGCCCGTCACGCCGGCAGCGTCTTCTCCGCTGTCCCAATGCAGGCGCGCCCACCCCAACGGAGGCAGTGAGAAGATTTTCTTACCCCCTAAAGGTTCTTTCGTGGGGAGGAAAATCGGCGTTTCGGCCGTAGTTTCCCACGGTTGGTCGTTTGGTCCGTTTGGGGAGTTTCATGGTTTCCTCATGGCCTGGTTGGCTCCAGTAGGAGCGGCGGCGTTGGCGCGTGTCGTCGGTGTTTTGTGGTTTGCCGCCCGGCGCGGGGGCGGGGTAGCAAGTTCCCGGCGTCCTCGTCGCCGCGTTCGCCGTGGTGGCCACGCAGGCGCGCTCCTGGCGGACTTGGTCTGTCCAGTGCGCGTGCCTCGTCTGTCCCTGCGTGGTGTGCCGCAACTCTGCCGGGCTGGGGCTCTGGGCCGCGGCGGCTTTGGTGCTGCCGCTTTTGCCCTCCCGCCCTCCCTGGTCTGGTGGGTGTGGTTCGCTGCTGGCCGCGCAGGCAGCGGTGTCTGGTTGGGGTGTGGGTTCGGCGTGTCGGGCAGCCTCGCTTGGGGGCTTGCTCGCCCGTCACGCCGGCGGCGTCTTCTCCGCTGTCCCAATGCAGGCGCGCCCACCCCAACGGAGGCAGTGAAAAGATTTTCTGAACGTTTCTGCGAGGCCGCTTGTGCTTCAAGGTAGTCCCTCATCGTGGGCGCGAGGGTAGTCTCTGGGGTCGGCGCAAGCGGCGTCATCTTGCCACATTTCTCCTGCGCGCGAAGCGCGAAGGCGACCTGGGCTGGCGCCGCTGTCCACCCCCGGAAATCACTGCTCTCCCCTTCGGTGCCGCCGTGCGGCTTTTCGCCAGGCTTGATGGCCGTCGTGATCATATCGCGCATGACCGGCTCCGCGAGATCCAGCGGGGATGTGGTTCCCATGGTCTCCGCGAGGAGGCGGCCCACCGACAAGTGCCAAAACAAGTCGGGGCGCGCCTTGGATGCCGGATTGACGCCGACCAGGAGGGAGCACCACTCCTCCGCTGCCGCCTTGCTGGCTCCGTTGAAGGCGTGCCGGGGCAGAGCCTGGACATCAAACTGCTCAAAGGACATCGCCGAGAAGCCGAGAACGGTTGGCGGCAGGGTGCTGAGCGAAGCGGCAAAGACAGAGACTTGAACCTGAGCCAACGCGTTGACGGAGCCCCGTGGCTTGCCGCAGCCCTCGCGACTCCCAGCGACGAGCGCAACGGCGATGATGAAGAGCGCCAGTATTTGGCGATGGGCCGAGCGGCTGGCGAGGGGGCTTTCGCGCATCCCACGCTACAGGCAAATCCTCCATACAGGCGGATTTGCACCGAGAATGCCCATTCGGGCGAATCTGAGCCCACGATGTCCAATTCGAGCGAATCGGCGTTCGGAATGCCCATGTGGGCGAACCTGCGGAAATAATGCGCTTTCGGCTGCCCATTCGGGCGAATCTGCGCCCACAATGTCCAATCCGAGCGAATCCGCGCTCAGGGTGCCCATTTGGGCGAACCCGCGCAAAGAATGCGCTTCCGTTCGCGGCGACGCCGAGAGCGCACATTCGTGCGAGTCGGCGGCCAGAATGCCCACATGGGCGAAATCCGCGCGCCAGAGCCAATCCAGGCGAAGTGCGCGCAGTTGCGCTTTCGGGCGACGTGCGCCACCAAAATTCGAGCAAACGCCGCGCAGAACGCACAGGGCCATGGCAAGCCCGCGCACAACACCCGATTTAAAGGCACGGGTCACTGTCTCTCTCCAAGCGGGGGGCGGCGGAAGGTGGCGCCAACCTAAACTGAACTCTCTATTCTCTGCCTGAGCCGTGGACACGATGCCGCCGAGAGCGGCGGCAGATGGTGACGGCGGGGCCTGCGCCACCAAAAAATCACAGAGATTGGGGGCAGACCCCGTATCAGGTCCCCTCAGAGCTGCGACGAGGTAAGTGAACGGGGGGCGAAAGAAGGGAAGGGGGGGGGGGGAACTTGAGCGGAGAACGCAAACATAACGTGTTATGTCAGAACGGCGCCACCTGACTATGCGCCGCCCCCGCCCCCCCCGCCCACCGACCACATAACAGACGGGGGGGGGGGGGAGAGGGCCGCGGCCCGAAAACTTCATTGTTTGCAGCAACACGCATGTAGAGGCACGGGTCACTGTCTCTCTCCAAGCGGGGGGCGGCGGAAGGTGGCGCCAGCCTAAACTGAACTCTCTATTTTCTGCCTGAACCGTGGACACGATGCCGCCGAGAGCGGCGGCAGAAGGTGACGGCGGGGTCTGCGCCACCAAAAAATCACAGAGATTGGAAGCAGACCCCGTATCAGGTCCCACACCATCGCATGGCTTGCATTAGCGCCTGGCTGTGGCGGCGCCTGGGCTGGGTGGGAGGGTTCGGGCGCCTCCCACAGCCGTCGCGCATTCACAGCCTCGGCAGAGCTCCAAAAAACTCCGTAGATCATTCGCAACACGAAATGGGTCACTCACGAGCCTTTTCAGGGCGACCACTCTTCTTGGGCATCAGTCGGCTCCCGCGCTCCAGGATGTTTGGCGGGAGCGCGGCGCGGGCGGCCACCAGGGCGTGCGTCTTCATATACCTGAGCACGCTCTTCTCTGAAGCCCACCGCCCGCGCCGCTGGATGGCCCACGCCGTCCTGTAGCCCGTCGCCGCGTCGTGGCTCGGCCCCGAGTGCCTGGCAGCATGGGGCGGGAAGTGCTCGACGCCGACGTCGTCGCAGGCTCGCCTCAGCGCCGGGCGATAGGCATCCACCGAGCAGCTGAAAACTCGGTCCGAGGGGTCTCGCTCGGACTTCCTGCGCACAAGCATGTCGCTCACATGCCGACGGTCGATCAGCACGCCCTGCCTCGCGCCCGTCTTGGTCCTCTCACCTCGCTCGGTCACCCCGAGTCGTAGAGCCACAATCTGCTCGCCCGCCTCGTCCACGTCGACCGCGATGTCGGCCGCCCGCAAGGCGAACAGCTCCGCGGACCTGAGGTAGGCGTCCAGGGCGACCTCGGCGGCGTCGGCGGCCTCCACGCTCCCGGCCAGCCTGATGGCCTCGTCCAGCACGGCCCAGAGCTCGAGGGGCTGGGGCCCCCCTTCTCCCGCAACGTGAAGTCGATGCCAAGCTCGAAGAGCTCGATTGGACCTCGGTGGCCCCGTCGAGAGCTCGGGCCACACGTAGGCAAGCCCATGCACAACGAAATCTCCTCGATGCGGACCCACACCCTCGTCCTCGACCAGGCGGTCCAAGTAGCAAAGAACGGAGTCGTCGATCTCCTCTCGGCTCATCATCGGCAGGTTCACTTCCAGCGCGAAGTTCAGGAAGCGGCGCACGTTGGGCACGTAGCAGCCCAGCGCCGTCTTAGTGGAGACCGAGAACGGCAGCAATGCCAGCCCATAGGTGGTTCTCTCCCGCCGTGGCACCCCCTGTGGGTGCGCGCCCTCCGCGTCGTTCCTGCGGTGGGTGTTGCCCATCTTGCGGTGCTGAGCGTGGTGCCGTAGCCTCTCTTCACCGACGGCGTCCGATAGAAAGGGCAGCGGCAGCCAACCCAGGAGCACGGACCACCGCGGGCAGCTGGACCGGCAAGCGGTCCCGGCCGACGGCTGCTCATCATCCACGTCGGACTCCCCGAGACGAGGCGATCGTCGATGGTCAGGCGCCTGGTCACCAAGTCGAACTCGAAACATCGCACGAAGATCTTCCAGCTCCGTCCAGTGTTCCTGTTGTAGCCGCTGTCTCTCCGTCGGAGTCGCTTCTCGAAAACTCGCGACAAAGCGATCCCTTTGATCTTGCGTCGCCCTCCAGGTGCTGCTGCAAAGATCTCTGATGATGTCGGTGGTCGCGTGGCGAGGTAGCCCGGTGACGAGTAGGCGCCTCAAAGCCTGATTGGGGCCGCTGAGAAGTACGTCCGTCAGGAAGGCCACGCGCCACTCCTGCCGCTCGGTGCCGTCGGTGGCCCGCTGCGTGAGGTCGCTGAACCACTGCTGCGCCCAATCATGTAGATCTTGCGTCATGTCTGCATAATCTTGCACCGCTTGCCCTCGAACATCGTCGGGCACGGGCGGGGGCCGCCCCATCGCACATGGGCTTCCGTACCCAGTCAACCCGAGACTCGAGGGAAAGCTGCAGGTAACGATTCCAGCAACGTAGCGTCCCGGCGCCTGCGCTCCAGGGTCTCTGAAATCAATTGCTCCACGGCCCTCTCGGTCAGGTCGGCCTCCCGTCTCTCCTGCATGGTCAGCATTGCGTCCACGTGGCACTCCGCCAACGTCCTGCAGAAGTCGGACGGGTACGCCTGGGCCACCCGTGTCCGAAAGCGACCGCTCTCGTCCTTGCCGCAGAGGCTCGCCGAGTGGTTCTCGTGCACGCAGGGACGGACAAACCGCTGCATCCCGAAGGCCGCCCCCGTGAGCGTCGCCAGCTTCAGCGCGGGGCAGCCCCGCATGCACTGCGGGAAGGTCACTCGGTAGGCACCCACCCGGGCCTCCCAGTCCACGAGCTCCTTGGTCACGAAGATCGATGGGAACGGCGGACACCCCGGATCGGCAGGATGCTCGATGGAGACCGAGCCTCCCTTGAGCCCGATCGCCTTCAGGATCCTCAAGCTGCTCAGCAACTGCGCGTTCCCAAGCTTCACCTTCTTTGCGTCGTCCCCTCGAAGACCCGGCCGACCCCGCAGCTGATCTCGCAGGCGTAGCGGGGGGGGGGCCTCCAGGCTGGAAGCGAACCCGCGACCAGGTAGAGCATGAAGGGCCTGAGAGTCCCCCGTCCGTCTCCGCTTCCGCCAGCAGCTCCAGCCTCCGCACGTTGACCTCGTCCGTCAGGTCGAACTCCGCCCCGAAGCCGATGTCCACGTTGGTGCAGATCATCAGGTAGCCTCGCGACCCCGCGATCCTGAGCAGCCAGTCCTCCAGGTCCCCGATGCGCGTGTGGACGCTGCAGAGGTGGGCGAAGCGCAGCACCTTCACCGGGATCGAGACGCCCGTCCTGGGCGGCTGGAAGGGGTCCACCTCCGCCAAGTCCGCCAGGGCCTCGATCCTCGAGGCCACCTTCTCCGGCAACACCAGCTCGTCCGTCCTCCGCTCCTTCGGTGCCTGCCCAATCGGGAAGCCTCGGCTCGGCCCGTCGCTGTGGTTGCGGTCCGACGGCACCCATCGCCAGTACTCCCGCATGCCGCGCCCGAGGTCGAGGGCGGCCATTCTCCTGCACAAGATCAGAATGGGCCGGCTGGCCGATCTGCCTTTGCTGAAGCCGCCGAGGCAAACCATCGAGTCCGTGATGCGTAAGTGTCTCTTCCCCCAGCTCGCCCGGGTGCGGGCCGAGTGCCTCGCCGCGGCCACCCCCGTGCGCATCTCCAGCAAGTTGATGTGCTCCTTTTCCTCCCAGCGCCAGCGCGCAACCTCCTTCCACCGATCGATGTCGTCCCAACACTCGTGCACAGGTGGAGCGCGGATCCGGGTACCCAACTCCGCGTCGGTACCCACGCGTCTGAAGGCCTCCCCCTCGCACCAGGCGTCCGCAGCCCAGGACGAGGAGATGCCCGTCCAGACGGTCCAGCCTCCTCGAACTGCATATCGTGCTTCTCGACGCTGCTCCTCCACCGTTGCCACCGTAGAGATGAGCGCACCACCGTAGAGGCTCGCATCGAACATCGTCACCATCGGGTCCCAGGGCGTCGCGAGGTCCACCGAGATCAGCGGTGCCAGAGCCGCAGCCGCAGCCAACTCCCTCAGCACTTCCCGTGGAACCTCGCGCCGAGCTCCACCTCGGAACTCCATGCACCACGCGTACACGTCCGCGAAGACGCTCAAAACACCACGGCTGATCAGGAAGCCCCAGGACAATATGCCGACGATCCGTGCGACGGTATCGGGTAGTTCCCACTTGTGGATCAGGATCTCCCGTGCGCCGAAGACCGCCAACCACATCTTGTCCTGGTTCGGCGCCAGACGAGTTCCCCGAAGATCGCCACCGATCATGCGGGCGTCCGCCGCACAAGCATCCTTGTGCACCTTGAACCCCGCGGACACCACCAACTCCTTGGCACCGAGCCAGGTCTCCTCCACCGTCATCCCCGCCTCCTGGCCAGGTCGCGTCGGGAAGTCCAGGCCCATGATGCCGAAATCGTCGATGCACTCGTAGTGCGCAGCAGGCAAATCCCGACTGAGACGGGGCAGCGGTCCGCCTTCGGCCAAACGTTGGTCGCCTGAAAGCGAAGAAAGACCGAACTGGGGCCCAGTATTGAAGATGTCCTCCATGGTCGTCTGAGCCATCCAGCACGCCCAAGAGAAGCCCATCAGAGCGACCTTCACCCCGACGTAGGCCCCACTCCCAGGCAGAGACGAACCTTCGGGAAGCAGAGCGTCCAGCGCATCTCCAGAAACGCCGGGCAGCACGAAGTACGGCGCCAGCTCCTCCCCCAGCTCCAGCGTGTAGTAGAAGTCGGGGAGGTCGCCCGTGCCGAAGCGCATGGTCACGCCATCCTCCTTCATCTCCTCGGACACGTCCAGAAACGACATCGCACTGACACCGCCCATGGCACGCCGCGGGGGGGACCGCCACCGCAAGTTGGAGCGCCTCTGGTCGAACACCAGCCTCAGGGTCACCTCGGGCTCGCTCCCCACCAGCTCCGCCTTCTTCACGACGCAAAAGAGCCCGACCTCGTCCACCTTCACTGCGGTGCGGCGCAACATCCCCGCCAAAGCCATCCGCCGGGCCAGCTGCAACATTTCCTTCTTCTTGCGGAAATGCGGGTCCACGTAGTTGCGGATCTCGCAGGCCTGAACACAAGCCTCGCCATCCTCTCTCAACATCTCCTCCTTGAACATCTCCAACTTCTGTGCCACGCGAGGCGACGCAGACCTCGCACTCACAGGTCTGGCCCCCGGAGGAGGTAGAGCGACTCGATCCCATTGAGCTGGAAACGTCTCGCCCCTGTCCGGCAGCCGTCCACTTCCGCCAGCACTCCTCCTCCGAAGTTCGGCCACCCTCTTTTTGAAGGTGGACTGGGACTGATAGCCCGCCGCTGAGGCAGCAGGGCGCAGCCGCAAGAGTGCGGCTCCTTGTGAGGGTGTAGTCGAAGGCGGCGACTGGCGACGAACTTCTCCCAGCGCCCGCCGAGAGAGGTCCCCGTCCAGGTTGTCGGGCACGATCCCCTGGCCCCAGCAGTCGGCCAGGCCCAGTAGACTGTCGTCCAGACTCCCGCGGTAGAGCTGACGCAAGGCCAAGAGAGAACGATTCGCCGTCTCCACCAGCTCCATCTCCTCCTTCCAGCGCGACAGCGCCCGACGAGAAGTCGAAGCGGGGCGCTCCGGGCGAGCGAACAGCACCACCTCGGACAGGATGTCCCGCCGCCGAGACATGAAAACCCAAATTCGTCGTGCAAAAGCTCACGGGCCAGCCGACGGCGATATCGCATCATATGATGCGATATCGCCGTCGGCTGGGCCAATTCGTCGTGCAAAAGCTCACGCATCATATGATGCGAGTCAGCTGCAGCAGAAAGAATAAATACACTAGCCAAAACGAGCCGACGCGCAGGGACACCCCGACGCCGGCTGCAAGGGCCCCCTGGCTCGAAACCGAGTAGCCCCAATTGAAGCTCCTTGACTCACGGCGGGGCCACCGCGCCTCCGTCCAGGTCGGAGCGCGCCTTCATCAGCTGCGCGTCGCGACCCATGGCCTTCTTCATCTCTTCCTCGGCGCTCATCACTCGAATAGTGCTCTCGTCGGCGAGCTGGGGGTCCAAGCGACGTGCCGCCTCCCAGTCCACCTTTGACTTCCAGTTCTTGGCATCCTTGGGGCGGCTCCAGTCGTCGCGGCAGTTCACGTTGCGGTACGCCCTCACAATAGCGTAGCCCTTTCGCACCAGCCGCTCGAAGCTCACCAGGTTGAGGAGTCCCCTCTGACGATCGGTCATCAGCATCGTGTCCACCGCGGCGAAGGCCGCGATCATCTCCCGAGCCGTGTTGCAGTCGCTCAGCCCCCGGTCCCTGATGAAGTCCCGCGCCCAGGCCTCGGCCGTCTTGCCTGACGAGTAGATCTCTGACAGCACCTCGGCCGAGATCCGCTGGCGGTAACCCTCGGGCATGCGGCTGTTCCACTCCTCGGGCTCGATCTCCTTGTACTCGTCCAGCTGCTCCATGAACACCTGCTGCGGCAACTGAGCCTTGAAGCGCATCCGCTTGATGGCCAGCTCGACGGCCTCCGGCTGCGAAGTGGCAGCTCGCTTCTCGGGCGTCTCCATCAACGCCGTGGGTGCACTCTTCGTGGGAGACCCGAGCACGGCGACCGCCGAAGCCGAAGAACTCGCCCCCTCGATAGCAGCACCACGTTCGCCAGCTCCCGCCTCCGCAGGCGCCTCGCCCTTCAGACGAGCCTCGAACTGGTCCAGCCGCGCAATCATGTCCTCGATCACCTGCTTGTTGGCCTCGGCGTCCGCACGACCCCGCGAGTCCAGAGAAGCTTCGAGTACATCCCGACGTAGCTCCCTCGTCCTCTCGGCGGTCCGGATCTCGCTGATCTCCTCCATCATGGCCTTCTGGGACTCCACGAGATCGTTCAGCTGGCTCGCCAGCGCGGCACTCTCTCCGCTTGAAAGATAGCCAGGCGGCGGCGAGGGCGGAGGCCCCGAAGCAGTAGCAGCGACGGGCACATCCACGCTCGAAGCACTTGATGACCCAATCGAGGACTCTCCATGCTCCACGCTGTCCGACCACTCGTGAGCCGCCCAGAGGGTCAGAAGGATCAGGGCCAAGAGCATCGCAAACCAACGCTGAAGAGGCATCAGCTTCTGGGCCCACTCCTTCCACTCCCACAAGTAGGTGGCCCACTCCTGGACGACCTCCGAGCTCTCCACGAACGCATCCTTGGCCGTGACCAGGTAGCTGATCGTGTACACCCAGACCTCCTTCATATACTCGATCACGCCCAGCAACACCAGCAGCTCGTACAATACGAACAACGCGGCCAGCACACCCAGGAAACGCTTGGGACTCCTCAAAGACCACCTCAGCGTCTTGAGTGACGAAGCCCCCGAGCTGAAAACGGCATACATGACGTTCACCGCGATCGCCTGCTGACCACCCTTGCCGGGGCGATACAGCGGCCACGTCGGCACTGACGACGCCTTCAATCCCTCCGTTGCCTGGCTGACATAGGCGTCCCTCTGGGCAGCAGAAAGAGGTGGCATCGGCCGCCGCCGAATCCCCGCCACTGGGTCCGTGAAGATGGACGTCTTCGCCGTGATACAGATCAGGCCCAACGTCGAGTCCGGACCGATGACGGCCCACACGTTGCCACTCTTACGACGCACCAACTGCGCCTCCACACCGTCGGTCGCACTCTGGCGGTAGAAGCGGCGAGACCATGGCTCCACTGGCATCTGTAACTCGAGACCCTCGACCTCGTCCGCTGAATCCTGCTCCACGATAGGATCACTCACCAAAGAGAAGAGCGACCGCACCAGGAGGCCGAACGGCCAGCGCCCGAAGCGAGCCGTCTCGTCGGCGCTCTGCAGCGCACTTGCCGGCAGGTCCGGCACCTGCCCCTCGTCGTAGCACTCCAGCTCGACCAGCTCCCACGAAGAGCAGCCCGAACTGTCGGAATCGCCCGCGCTGCTGCCGCGCGGTGAGCAAAGGAAGAAGGGCTCGGGCGAGGCCGCAGAAACCCCTGCGGGCATGCTCGAGCCGAAGAACTTGAGCGGATAACGCAAACATAACGTGTTATGTCAGAGCGGCGCCACCTGACTTTGCGCCGCCCCCGCCCTCCCCGCCCACCGACCACCGAAAACTTCATTGTTTGCAACGACACACATTTAGGCGAAACCGCGCGCAGAATGGCCACTCGAACGAAAACGCGCCTGGAATATCCATTCGGGCGCGTATTCGGACGGAGAAGCGCACGGAATGCCCGTTCGGGCGAAACAGAGCCCAAATCGCCCATCCGAGCGAACCGCGCAGAGAATGCCAGATTGGGCGGAAGCGCGCCTGTATTTCATACGAGCGGCCCCGCGCACAGATACATCACCTTTGCGAGGACGCGCCCAGACCGCCCATCCAGCCGACCGCGCCAACAATGCACATGCGAGCGAAAACGCGCAGAATTCCCACACTGGGGAAAGCGGTCCCGTCCGGGCGCAGCGGCGTCCGGCGCAGGGCAAGCCACTACGGACTGAGAGAGAGGCCGCTGACCCGCGTGGCCGCGATACAAGCCTGCGCAGGCTGAGGAAAGAGCCGTTGCGCCATCCGGCCACAACAAAAACCCGTCCGGGCTGAGGGAAAGCCGCCGGGCCGTCTGGCCACAGGGAAATGCCACCGGGCCTCCGTCCACGGGGCAAGCCCATCCGGGCCAAGGGAAACGCCGCCGGGCCGTTCGGCGGCCACGGGGCAAGCCCATCCGGGCCAGACCGCCCGGTTGTGGGCCAGCCCATCCAGGCTGAGGGAAACGCCACTGAGCCATCCGGCCGCGGGGCAAGCCCACCGGACCGGGCTGAGGGAAACGCCGCCGGGCCGTCCGGCCACAAAGAAATGCCGCGTGTGTCGAGCGTGTCGTGAAGCATGTCCTCTGGAATGCAAGTGGCAGAGTTGAGACCGTTGCCGCTGAAATCGTCAATCAGACGTACTTTCCTACTCCACTGGCCGGCGCGTTCCCGCCAACCTTCGTCGACAGGGAAGCGGGCTGCAAGCAAAGCATCTACGGCGGAAAGCTTTACCCCAAAAGCTTTCCTCTGCGCAACCTGTTCTAAACATTTGTGCTCAAACGCTTCCTCCACCGCGGGGCACAGTGACGTGCGGGCCCACACCTTGCACAAAGTGTCGGCGTTGATAGCGCCCACCGAAGATTCCAGCGCACTTACGGGCACTGGTTCGGACACGTGCTGCTTCGGAGGCATTTTACCACAATGATTCAACCTACCTACGATCGGAAAACCGAAAGCTAAGTTATGTACAAGCTCTTTATCTGGCCACGCGATGCTCTCAAGCATCTCCGCGATAAGCGGTAGATTCTTCCCGGGCCCCACCAACTGCTGCGCGTGCAGCGGTAATCCCTGCAGAATTTGCTCCCAGGGGACAGCCGCGTCACGTTTCCGCCCCTGCCAGTGCTCTAAAGCGTCAGCGCGCCATCTATGCAAAGCCCCAGGGCTGAGAGCCGAGGATTTTTGAATTGCATCCTGCAGCAGAGGAGGCAAGCAGCCCTCACGCGCGACGTGGGGCAAAGACTGCGCCCATTTAAAATGCGCTGCAGGTGTCATAGCAGATCGTGCGTCCCGATCCTGTCGCAAGGCATGCGCGGCCGAACGGATGTCGACAAGAAAATCCTTTCCACCACTACCTGGAAACTCGATTGTTTCCTCTGTACCCTCAGAAGAGCTCTCGTCGGAAACCTCGCTCAGTTGTTCCTCCGCGTCTGTCCCGGGGAATCGTTCTTCCCCTCGCTTGTTCTAGCACGCTTCTCCCTAGAGTTCTCTGAGTTCGAATCTCAAGCAATGTGTACTGAAATTCCTTATTCTTTATCGCTATTCTTCCTTATTAGTGTATATATACCTGCTGTAGTGATATGGGATGCTGTTTTCGTCCATTTTTCATAGCCCGCAAACCGCGGTTTGCGGGGCAGAAAAATCGCGGGGCAGGCCTTCCTGGGGCCTCTTGGCTTCTCCGCTTCCTGGCGCCACAGGGGAATTCTCACGGCTCGGGCGCTGCTGGACGGCAGGCGGTTCTTCTCTCCTCGTCCTTGGCTGGGGCATTCTCACGGCCTGGGCGCTGCTGCGCGGCAGGTGGTCCTCTCCTCCTCGTCCTCGCTGCTCAGATGGCTGGGGGTTGGTTGTTGGTTGGCGGCCTCTCGGCCATGCTCCTGGGAGCTTGGCGTAGCGCCGGATGGCGCTCAGCTTGCTCGGCCGCTCGGCGGGCGTGCCGTGGTTGCTTCGCTTGGCTGGTTGGGTTTGGTTGGTTTGTTGCTGCCTGGCGTCTGCGAGACGTCTGCGAGGCTTCTGCGAGGCGTCTGCGAGGCGTCTCCGAGGCGCCTGCGAGGCTTCTGCGAAGCTTCTGCGCAGGGCTGCCTGGGGAAGCGCGTGGCCCGGATGGGCGGCCCAGCGGCATTTCCCTCAGCCCGGATGGGCTTGCCCCGTGGCCGGACGGCCTGGTGTGGCCCGGGCTTGTGTTGACACTGGAGGGGGGGGTTCGCCGTTGCTCTTCCGCATGGATGATTTTAAGAGTGCGTTCAAGACGCTTCCTGTGCAGGAAAACCATCTCCGGTTTTCAGT